AGATGCTCTTGTTTTCCCTTACCTCAAAATGAATATTTTTTACAAATGTTTACCAAGAAGTAAAAAACATGGAGAGAAATTTCTTAACAACTTTTAAAGTTTTGAATGTTCTGTTAAATTTTCGCTATCACAGTTTAGTTGAGCGAATAAAAAAAAAGAATTGCATCAACTGTTAAGAAAAGAAATAAATTTTATATTTTCAAATATCAAAGCAAAATAAATATAACACTGTACATAACATTTTTGTGTAAATTTTCAATTAAAATAGTTTAGTAGAAAGTTAGTTAATTATGATAGACAATTCAGTAAAATGAAATAAAAAGATGATGCTGATATTACTAACTTTTTAATCTTTGCAAAGCTTGTAATAAACTAAAATAAAACATCATTTAACATATAAAATTGCAAAATTAACAGTTTGCAATTTATGTTCATTTAGTGGACAAAATTTTATAAACTCAATTTTATAGACTATATTGCATAGAATACTTGATAATATTAGAAACATTTTAATACAATTTTGTAAAAAAAAACAAGTTTTTACTGGCAATATACTTTGCACATGATTTTGAAGTAGAATGATGTAATGTTTATAGAAATGATGTAATATTTACAAGTAAAAGCACAAACTCATTATGAATTCAAATAATGTAGATTTAACAAATAATGTTGATTTAACAAAATTGTTAAATTTGTATAATACAGAATAAATAGTAAAAACTAAAACAACAGACATTTACAGATTTTTATAAACATTTCCACTTCTCTCTTGCTTATTTAATTTGATTTTATAAATAATCAAGTTTAATTTTTTATTACTATTACATAGAATATATCAAATAACCACATAGATTGCTTTGAACACCCTAATACATTTGATTAACATGTAAAACCTGTTCAATTTACCATTAGATGTATAAATAAATAGCAATATAAATATAAAAATTGTACATTGCGTAAGAACAAGCAGTAAAAAAAGAAAAATTTAATAACGTGGTAAAAAACCAAAGGAGAATATTGAATCTTTTAAACAGGCCCATTTGAGAGCTTCCCAAAATCTAGGAACTGAGAAATTTAATTGACATTTCAAAAACCTACTCTGGTACATTAAAAAAGTTGGACCAATTGGATATGATTACAAAATTTAAATGATTGGAATTCACAGTTTTCCACCCAGATATTTAAATCATTAATGTATCCATAAAAGGTTGTAAGGAATAAGTTGTTTTAAAAGGATCAATTTACATTTAGTAAACCTTTTGATAATCTTTTATTTAAAATATAAAATTGGATATGATTACAAAATTTTTGAATATTTAAAAAATTAGATTAATTAGACCAATTAATTTTCAGTGATGAGATTGAAAAACTTAAATGGAGAAACCAAACAGATTTTATAAAGTAAGAATTTCTTATTAATTTAATCAATATTTTTTATAGTTGTACATTTTATAGTATTTTGTATTGTTGTAAATGTCTAAACCAAGTTTTTGCTTTTTTTAAATATTATTTTAAGCTTCATTTCAAATAAAGCTCAATTATTTGGTTGGTTTGAAGAATTTTGAAACCAAGTCAGTTTTAATATTCTTTCAAGTTAAAGGTTTCTCTTGAAAGCTAGGCACTGGTAATACTGCAGTCAACTTGTTTCTCACTGCAGCAACAATTAACATCAAAGTTTGTGTTTTGGAGTTTAAGAGTTGTAAGAGAGGGTTGTAAGCATACCCAGTGGGTATTTGTTTTTAAAAGTTACCTTCTAAATGTATTTTAGATGTCTTTTAAACATCTTCTAAACATTTTTATGTAAAGAACGTTTAGAAGATGTTTAAAAAATATTTAAAAGAAATTTAGAACATAACTTTTAAAAACAAATGTCCATAGGGTAATAAAGTAGCTTCCTCAATTTTAGTGACCCTCTTGTCTTTTGGGAGGTAAATTACATTTAAAAAAAATGACAGATACGTCAATCACTTTATAGAAACACTAACAGGAAAGACCAAAACCCTAAAAAAAAACAACTGTTATCTAATTTAAAAAATTATTGAAAACTTTCAAGTATGATATTGAAATATTAACTTAATCAGTTTAAAACAATTTTTTAAAACAATTTTACCATCAGATTGCACAGGAAACTAAAAAATATTTAGAAAATACCATTCAGGGTTAGGGTTAACCCTAACCCTGACCCTGAAAACTTTTTCCATGATAAAAACAGACTATATAAATGGTGTTCTTTCTATTTTGATAAAGAAGTATACTAGGTTCTTTTTATCTGTGTAGGAAAATGTCAAACTTTTTTAGCTAGATTTATTAAAATATTATTAAATACATGGAATGTATTTATTGAAGCTTCAGCTAACTCATTAGAAACTGAAGAAAGAAGATGTCAACAAAGTTTCACCATTTGTGGCAACATTTTTACATTTCATGATTTCTGAAATCATCTTCCATAATATTAGTATACAATAAAATTGTTTTAGATTCCTGACATAAAATTTGTATATATTTATCAAAGCTTCAAGTTTTTCAAAAATTTAAAAACATTCAGAACATGAAAACTGCTATGAAGAAAATAGTTGCTTAACTCAAAATTTCCTGGCAAGCAGTCTTATAAAAAGTCAGAGACAAAACATTAGCTGAAGAATATAATGTGGAAAAGAGAATAAAAAAGAGAGAACAACAACTCCTTATTTTGCTCCTTACCAATCCTCACATCTTAGATAAAAAAAAAATATTTTCAATCAAAGTCAAGCAAAAAAATATTTTGTAATGAAAAAAACATTTTTTTTTTCAGATTATGTTTTATAACTTAAAAATAACACATTTTGAAGAAATGGAAATTGGCAACTAACACTTCCTAAAGGCTAAGAGTAAAAGTATAGTTATTAATTAAAAAGAAATTTGATACATGTAGACTAAATTGTCATGAATTTTGTAAAATGAAATTAAGCACAACCATTTTTGAGTAGTTGCAAATCTAATATTATAAGTCTGTTAAAATACAAAGTCTTTAAAAATTCGATGGCACAGATTTTGTCAAAGGATGAAGCAATTCAACCAATTTGCATGACTGAAGCAGTTAAACATAGTGATAGAAAAGTTTATCACACTTGTATTATGTATGCATATTAGTGATGTGCCATCGGCTAAGGCCGATTAAGGCTAATAATAGGTTTAATGTATTTATTTAAGGGTATTATAATAATATTAAAGGTTTAAATTACATATTCAATATGTACCTATTTATCAGAAGTGATTTGACCTATAAGCCTATGCTATTAGTAACCAGCAACCAATCAATCAGTTTAACCATTAGCCGATTAATTGGCTGATGGCATCGGTTGATTAATCAGCATTTGCCAATGTATCAGCATTGGATAATAAGCCAAATCAAACTGGTGCATAGGCATACCTTATATATACAAATTGCATACCTAATATTAGGGTATTATCTTTATAAACATACATTAAACCCTAGTATTAGTCTTAATCGGCCTTAGCCGATGGCACATCATTAATGTATATATATATATATATATATATATATATATATATATATATATATATATATATATATATATATATATATATATATATATATATATATATACATATATATATATATATGTATATATATATATATATTTATATATATATATATATATATATATATATATATATATATATATATATATATATATATATATATATATATATATATATATATATATATATATATATATATATATATATATATATATTTCTATTATTAGATAATTAATAAAATTATTAGATATTTATAAAAGTATTTTGATTAAAATTATTAAAATTGCATAACTTTTTTGCATAACTTGCATTAAATTTTTTTGCCTAATTTGCATTGCATAATTTTTAAAAAAAAGTTTTCTTGATATGATTTTTAAGGTGATTATATATACGCAGATTTTATTATGGAATAATAACTAACAAAAAAAAAAAAACTGTTTTTTCCTTCTAACCAAAACAATAATTTTTTTTATCTCTACCGACATTAACAACATTATATTAAAATAAATATTATTCGTATGTTTGTACACGCAAAAAACAAGATTAATTTGTATTTATTATTAGAGTAAACTTCGAATATTAGTGCATTCTTATATTAATTTGCTTGAAACCCAAACAAAAATATATATATAGCTTGTGTGTGTGTGTGTGTAAAACACACTGCAACAGGCAGCAAGAACAGCAATAATATATTAAAGAGTAAATATCATAAACTGGTTTTTAATATGACCTAGTTAAAATGAAAAGAGCAACCTTATAAACAATACAAACTCAAAAAAGAACAAGAACAAGAAAATAAATGGAAATTAAAAAAAGAAGCAAGTAAAAAAATTAAATAAACGAAACAAAAAACAAAGAATGTAGCGAAGTTGAATTGTTACTTACCTTCAAATACTAAAGGATTTGGTTTCAATTGCAACGTCAGTTTACCATTTAAAGAAAACTCATTCTTTAAACCAACTTTTACTTCAAAGTTTAATGAATTTATTACCGCTAACTTGCTAAGCTCTAATGTTCCTTCATAACCAGCCTTTAAAAAAAAAGTACTATCTTGAAAACCAGCAGTAACAAACAATACAGCATTAGGAGACATTCGCTTCTTTGCGAACTCGCACAATTCATTCTTCATACAATCTTGGGGTATTGTTAACGTTCCTCGAAAATATATTCCTAAATAGATAAAACTTCCATAAAAATATGTTCTCCTCAAAAATACTTTTTTTAAGGAGCCCCAAAAATTATTTTCAACTTAACTTTAAAATGTATGTATGTATGTATATGTGTGTATGTATATATGTATGTATGTATGTATGTATGTATGTATGTATGTATGTATGTATGTATGTATGTATGTATGTATGTATGTATGTATGTATGTGTGTATGTGTGTATGTGTGTATGTATGTATGAGTGTATGTATGTATGAGTGTATGTATGTATGTATGTATGTATGTATGTATGTATGTATGTATGTATGTATGTATGTATGTATGTATGTATGTATGTATGTATGTATGTGTGTATGTGTGTGTGTATGTATGTATGTATGTATGTATGTATGTATGTATGTATGTATGTATGTATGTATGTATGTATGTATGTATGTATGCAGGCTTTCACAGGAAGACGTGCGATTTCACGTCTTTATATGACCACGCAAGTTACATTTTGCTATGACGGTTTGACCGCGGCTAATTCAAATAACATCTTAGAAACGCGCTAAATAAAAAATATTCTAAAAAAGTGAAATTAATTACATCAAAACTTCTTAACAAATGTTTTTACATTAGCGAAACGATTTTAAATAAAGTAACAATTTACTGAAAAAAAGTTTTGGTTTTTAAATATAAATGACAGTTGTGTATATTTTTTTAATTTAAAACATATAAATTGTTTAAGTGTTCATTTTTAAAACAAATCTTATTAAAAAATAAAAAATTGTTTTGTTTATATAAACGATGACATTCTACGACTACGAAAGTCTCTTTAACGAATTTAAATATAAGAATGATTAAAGTTAATGCATTTAAATAGATAAACAAAATTTCATTAAAAAAAAAAGGTTTTAGAAAACCGTTACAATTTAATAAGTTTGATCTTAAATGCTTTTTTATTATCGAAACGCTTTTAATGAAGTAAAAAAAAAAACAACACTTTTAATTAATTTAAAAAAAAGTATCTATAAAATGTTTTTTATTTTATTTATATAACTATGTATTTTTTATGAGAAATATTTAATTTTGAACATATTAAACAAATAAAAAATATATAAAAATGTTGAAACAAAGATTAAAAAGGTTTTTTAATGCGTAAATTAAATAGACTAAGCATTTTAGTTTGATAAGTTTTGTTTTAGTTGCGTTATATATATATATATATATATATTTACTTTTGTGTGTTTTTGCTTTAACTAAGTATTTTTTTTTTTAATTTTTTCTTTCATTAATATTTATTATTTTTTTAAATTTTTTTTTCAGATAAGTTTTTGTAGCGCGTTTTTAAATTTTAAAAACATGTCGTGGTCAAATCATTAAAACATTTTTTTTTTGCGTGGTCATATAAAGACATGAAATCGCACATCTTTCTGTGAAAGCCTGGTATGTATGTATGTATGTATGTGTGTATGTATGTATGTATGCATGTATGTATGTATGTATGTATGTATGTATGTATGTATGTATGTATGTATGTATGTATGTATGTATGTATGTATGTATGTATGTATGTATGTATGTATGTATGTGTGCATGTATATATGTATGTATATATGTGTGCATGTATGTAAGCCATATATTTATAAATCAATAAATTAAAAAACCATTAAATACACAAATTAAAAATACAAGTTAACAGGCCTTCTTGTAAGAGGCGTGCGATTGCACGCCTTATATGACCACGCATATAGTTCTTTATTTTAACAACTTGACCACGGCTCATTGCAAGTTTTAATAATTTACATTTGCTTTGTTTTCTTTTAGCGCATTTTTTAAACGCGCTAATTATCGAAACTTGCTAAGAGCCGTGGTTAAGTTGTTAAAACAAAGAACTATATGCGTGGTCATATAAAGCGTCCGATCGCACGCCTCTTTCGAGAAGGCCTAAGTTAAGCAATGCACTAGGATCTGACTTCAAAAAACTGATTACATGAAGGCTTAGTCTAATTTTAATCTGTGTTAGATTGACAAGAAAGGAATTTATTTCAACATTTTGATAACTCCAGTTTTTGTTATTTAATAATGTGTTCTCATTGTTTTTGTACCTTTTTGTACATTTTTATACAGAAAAACATCATACAAAAATAAAATGACCGAAACATGGTTTATTGAAATATCTTCTCCAGATATAAAGAATTATGATCATTTCTGGTTCCTATTTATTTAAGAACTTGTCTAAATCTTATCAAATTAAGTTTTTCTTAAATTCATTTTTGCTTTTCTTTTAAACATTTTAAAAAACTATAGCTTTCACTCCTAATCAAGAGCAGTAAAAATTGCTGATTGGATGTAAACCGCCCAATAAAATTGATTTGAAAAACTGCAGATAAAAGTAACGATTGTATAACTTTAGCTAAAATATCTATCAATAGTAATCGTTTTTGATAACTGTTAGTCATGAACAATTTTAACTATCCAACATTATTTGGAATGATGACTATTTAACAAACTTCAAAGAACCAAGCAAACCAATAGAAGCAAATTTTATTGACATAATAATCTTACACATAATAAACTTACATATTCTTGTCAACACCAATTTGTTGCAAATAAATCAAGTCTGACAAATCTTTTAGAAACTATGGATTTTATAACCTTTGCAAAATTATATTAAAATTTGACAGATATTATATTCCTTGACTTAAAAAGATTTCGATAAGGTACCACATAAACCTTAAACAAAAAAAAAGATATTGTTGGTAATCTTTCTTCTTGGATAAATACTTTGTTCACAAATCATTGA